TTCTACAGGCACCTGAAGATGATCGACGTCGAAGGTAAGAGGTCGTTCACCTCTTAGAACATCAAGGACGAGGACGGAAAGGTCCTTCGGGACCCCACGTGTATTCGCTAACGGAGGGCACGGTGGTTCCACATCCTTCTCAACACCAAGTCGCCGACCATCGACCTGCATGCGGCTGACAAGGTCAAGCAGTGGCCCATCTCTACTTGAGGATAAGGAAGCGGTACGGAAAACAGAAAGGCCGTCGGGCCGGACGACCTACCGGCTGAGCTGATCAAGCTTTTCCTGGACGGAGATCAAGGTCTCCTCCGCGAATTCCACGCCATTGTCGTGGACGTGTGGCAGGCTGGNAGGTGCTGCTCAATGTCGTCGCTACACGACTGAGCCACTACTGCGAGCGAGAGGGCATCCTCCCGGAGGAGCAGAGCGGTTTCCGCCCACACCGGTCGACGCTCGACATGCTGTTCGCCATCCAGCGGCTCCATGAGCTCGCGAGGAAGAAGAGTACTGCGGTGTTCGCGTGCTTTGTCGACCTCACCAAGGCGTAAGGTTCGGTGGACCGAGACCTACTGTGGGACGTGCTCCGACGCTTCGGCGTGCCCCCGAAGATGCTGGCGGTCATTCGCCACTTCCACGAGGGCATGGGGGCGCGCGTCCGAACGGACGACGGGCAATACCCGGAATGGTTCGACGTATGCCAAGGCCTCCGACAGGGATGCAACCTGGCCCCGCTGCTGTTCAACTTGTTCTTTGCCGCGATGCTCATGGTCGCCGTGGCCGAGTTCGACAAGGACCCCAAGGTGATGGCGGACATGGTCAAGATCAAGACACAAGTGGAGTACACGGGCAAGAAGGGCAGGTCGGCGGGGAAGAAGACGACGGTGGTGACGGACGCGGAGGCCTTAAGGGCCATCCTCTACGCTGACGACGCGGCCATCGTCTCGCGCTCGCCGGAGAGTCTCGAGAAGATGATGTCGGTCATCGTGCGCGTGATCGGCCTGTTCGGACTGATGGTACCGGATC